TCCAAATTATGAATATCTTTAGAGCTGGAGATGCCTTCTAATTTTTATAGTCGCTGAATCTTATTATATTGACTTTAAGGCAGTACTGATTGTGTGGCATGTCATTACTTCAGGTACCATAAAGAAAGAGAAAATACTGCCAATTCAACTATCACCGTGCTTTCTTATCACATATTTTATAGTTTCTTATTTAAAGAGCTTATTTAGAAAATGAACTTTTTAATATCACTAAAGTGTCTAAATGTGTCTTAAATAGACAAATGGAAAATTACAGGATGTTAGAGCTGAGAAAAAGGTCACTATTTCTTAGAGTCTTCAAAATGTTATTGCTGAAAGAAACCTTAGTGATGATCATATCTCCACTTTATGTATAACTCCTTATGTCTGAAGAGACTACTCATATCTCTTAGTAATCTGATTAAATCTGGTCCAAATTCCAATTCCAAAATCTGGGAATTCCACAGCATGCAATAGTTTCTGCATGTTTCATGGTCTATTGTGCTTCTCCTTCCCTCTGCATCCACACCCCCAAAGTCATGCAAGCTGCCTCCTTATCAATTACGGGCCACATAAAACAGCACTTTCAGTAGAAATTTCAACAAGAAATATGATCTTACTAGGCATATAAAAATTTTACTGTAAACTTGAATACATACACACACACACACACACACTTTCACACACATGCAAGAATAGGGGAGAGATCACAAGGAAAGTTCCCACTGAAGAGTTTATGCCTTTCACAGGCTCCTCCACCCTATCCTTCTCTTGCTCTCTTCCCACTCCTGTCTGTTATTCTTACAGAAAAACAAGCAAATTCTTTTGCTTATAAAATAGTTTCTCTCACACTTAGACCTTTTGGTCAGGGGAATTTACCTTATTTCTATCTCAACTACTTCATGAAAATGTATCTTATCCTTTTAAGAGGGTTTATAGTTAATAAACATTATATTATTGGTTATAACTAAAGTATTAGATGGAATGATGTGCAAACTTGCACAATCAATGACAGCATTACAACCAGAACCATGTTTGTCTGAAATCAGGGTTTTTCCCCTTATTAAATGGTTCTGCATCTTACTCTGCTCTAAGTAGTTACAATATGCTAAGTGAAGCTTATGGTGGCTTGGAGTTTACTTTGAGAATAAAAAGGGAAATTCAAAATTCATTTTTGAGTAGGTAAATAATTCTTACCAGGATGATGGAAAAATACATCCAAGAAGGGGACCATGACTGAGTCAATCTACCAGCAAGTATTTACCAATTGCCTACCTTGTCTCATGGAAAGTGATAGGCACAGGGGCAGGCTCCAAAAGTCAAGGTCCATGGCCTTACCTTGCTCACAGCCTAAAGATGAGGGAATGATATGTTCTTGAATTAAAATAGAGTGCTTTTCAGAAAATTTTTTCTATGAGCAATGTTAACTGAATTAAGAGCACTTCAGTTTCAAAATGGGAATGGAGTGTGTGTGTGTGTTTGTGTGTGTGTTGGGAGTCGATGGGTGGGAGGGGATGACAAGATAAAATGGAGAAAACAGTGAAAAAAATGTTCACAAAATTTTATACTATAGAGGACATCAAATATAACACTGGAAGAAAAGCAGTAGCTGAGGTGGCATCCCATAATTCTCTTGAAAAAGTAAGTAGAAAAGGGTTGGACAATAAAGTACATATGGCTTCTACACCAGTGCTCAAAGTACAAGTAATATAAAATAGAACTTGAGTTTTTACACAGTGAGGAAAATAAAATGTCATGTACATAAAGAAACTTGGTAGGATGAGGCCTACCAAGCTTTCTATGCCTGGACTGTGGCAGTGAAGAAAGGTGCAGTTCATTGTTCCGAAGAAACAGAACTGGGTTCTGATGTACAACTGGAAAGGAATGGCCAGTCAAGTGACACATACCATATATTTGTGGGGAACTTGCTTCTGAGACAGAAGTAGCTTCTTTGCTATGATCTACAGAAAGCCAGCCCTGGCCCTCAGTATTTGTAAAATTCAGAATGGAAAGGAGGGGAGGGAAGGAAGGAAAGAAAAAAAGAGATTTAAAGGAGTAAGTAGGAGGAATAAAAACAAAAGAAATGATAGAAAGTCAAAGTAGTACTTTACATCAAGAAAATAGAGTCTTTTATGGGATTTTATGTCTTTGAGAGTGGAAAGAAGAAAGGAATTATTTAGGTGAAGATAAAGGAGAAGAAAGTAAGTAATATCATTGGAATAATGTGCTGGAGCCTGTCAAAACAGATAAACTGGATTATAGGTTCCAGGAACAAATCCTGAAACCGGCATAAAGCCAAAATCCAGGACTGAGGGGTATGTTGATTTAGTGTAATAGCATCTTTCATAAGGAAGAGGATGGCAGGGAAGAGTTTGCAACTCAAGGTCTAATTTTGACCCCAAAAGATGAATTTCATCAAGTGGAATGAGAGTGAAGGAAATCTTGAAAGACAGTACTAGGCCATTTTAGTTCTCCCTGGTAGCCAAGGAGGTAAGGTGAGATGTGTGTCCAGGATTACGGGAAGCTTAACTTCAAATAGTTAAATGATACAATTTTCATAACCTGAGATTATATGGGAGACAAGGCTAAAGGAACATGTGATTCTCTTAAGAATAAAACTCAGTCAATGCAAATATTCTGGAGTCCAATGAAGAGGAGTTGATGTAAGGATTACAGAGATGCCTCCAGTGAACTCAGATTTAGAGATGCCAGGCACAGAGGAGGCATAACTAAGAAAGTAGTCCACATATGTCAATGCTTTCAAAAGCACAAACCATACGGCAAAAACTGAGAAATTTGATTACAAAACAATTAAAGATTTATGTTCTATAAAGGGCACTATGGACAAAGACAGTAGGCAGAAGGTAAAATGAAGAAAATATGTGCTTTGTCTAAAACCAACAAAGATGTAATATCATCCTAGAATATATATGGAACTCCTGCAAAGGAACAGGAAATAGACAGTAACCTGATAGGGAAAAAAAGGTTCAAATAATATCAACAGGCAATTTACAGAACAGAAAACACTAACATGGATATGGAAATTTGATCAAAATCATTAGTAATCAAATACAAATTAAAGCAACAATGAGATATCAGTTCACATCTATCAAAAGAGCAAAAATCAGGAATCCATATAATTATTAATGTCAGAATGTAGAAATGTAGAAACTTGCACTGCTGCAAGACTGATCTCATCACTTCTGGAAAGCAAATTGGTACAACTTGGATACATTAAATAGACTGATATGGCCCAGCAATTCCTCTCCTAAGAAATATAAAACAGATTCCTTACAAGTCCAGTAGGGGACTAATAGGAAAATGCTCTTAGCAGGGTATTTGTAGTGGAGTGGAGTTGGGGGCAATGTGGGTGTTCATCGGTGGAGACATGGATAGATACAACATTGTGAGTGAATACTGCACATCATGGAATAGCAGGCATCAAACTGAAGCAACAGATTAAATGCTAGCCCCTGGTAGCGTGGAGGTAGATGAAAAATGGTGCTCAGTGAAAAAGTAAGGCACAGAATGAGACAACAGTAGCTTTGGAGTACATTTAAGAATACATGCCTACAAAATATTTTCCGAGGGCATATTTAAACACAATTCTAAACACTAGACACGTCTTCCTCAGTGGTTCAGCTGGTAAAGAACCTGTCTGCCAATGCAGGAGATACATGAGACTCCAGTTCCATCCGTGAGTAGGGAAGATCCCCTGAAGAAGGGAATGGCCATCATTGGCTGAATCCAATAGAAAGTCAGAGGTAAGGGAATCTGTTGATGTGGTCCATACAGCTTAGCCTCAAAGCCCAGAGCTGGGTGAAGAGGGTAAGAAATTAAACTGAAGAGAGAAATAGCTATCTAGGTCTTTAGACTGGAAAATAAAAATAAACACATGTAATCAGATTTGAAATCCCAAAATGAGATTTTTAAGGGTGTTCTGGGAGGCTCTAGGTATGTTTAATTTCCATGTCCTGGGTCAGCCATATATATTAAACTGATTACTTTAAGTCACTAATTATGGTGCCTTAAGGTCCAGGGCTTTGGACACTGACACTCTACTCCTATCAGAACAGCGTTGCTTTTATTTGGTTAATGTATCAGGAGTCTGCTTAAGATTTCACTGAGGAACCAGAGCTATAGCACCACCTATAGTTAGGCAATGTGGTATGAACTCAAAAATGAATCTCAGACTAGTGGGGAAGACAGAAAAGTAAATTACAGTACTGGGTCAGGAAAAAAACCATGAAAGGACCGTAAAGAAAGTCCAGTGAACCCAGAAGGGTCAAGGGAGCAAGGAAGGTTTCCTGGAACCTGTAACTGAAAAGTGAGGTAAGGAAGCTCAGAGAACACTGCCGTTGTCCAAAGGAGGGAAGAAGAACGCAACAGTCACGCAACTCTGAAACGGGCGATGTCGCCTGGAAAGAACGAGGTTACAGATCCGCGGAGAAGGATGGGAGCTAAGGTAACTGCACGTGATACGCAAAGATCTACTCAAGCCAGCCTCTAGCCTTGCTCCACCCCCATCCCATCTCCTCCTTCGTCAAAGGGGCGTGGCATTTCAACAAAGGCACTCAGCTGGGAGGGTATCCCAACCCTGAGGCCCGCGTCACCAGCGCGGGCGGGCGGCTGCGGAGTCTCCCGGAAAAGCTGGTATCTCCCAGAGTGGTGTGGTTCGGGCTCTCCAGCCCCGGAGGGGAGGCTAAGGAGAAGGCGCTCACTGGTTGCTATAGCGGCGATCTAAGAGGCTGGGGAAAGTTGATTGGCCGCAGGTTCGTAGCGCGGACCACGCCCACCCCTTCCGGCGGCTGCAATCGGGTCAGGGCCCCAAGGCCTGCTGGGTAGTTTAGTGGTGCGGCGCCAAAGCGGGCTGGGAAGCATGGCGCCGACTTTAGATGAAAGGAACCTGGGGCCGGGCTACAGCTGAGGGCAGGCTGAGCCAGGACTCTGGGTAGAATTCCTGGCTTTCCCTCCCACGGTCCCTGGGCCGGGGTGTGGTAACCTTAGAGCGTGGTCGTGCGGTCCGGCGACTGGGGGCTTCGCATTGGAAGATGAGTAGGGATGCGCATTTCGGGATGGCTTTTAGTTAATGCATTTACAGGAGTTTGCGCGGACCCTGTGGGCTCCGGGGACCAGGGCAGACTGTGGCGGGGGAAACGCGGCCAGGGCGGCGGCTTCTCTTCCGCTAAAGGCCAGCTCCCCACCATGCCTGGGTTCCCGTTTGAGGCCGGGGCTCTTTGGACCACGGGACCTTGAACCAGAAAGTGCGTTGCTTAAAGAAGACAGTTCCAGGTCACGCAGCCTGATTTTTCAACATTCCTGGCCACACTGGCCTGTTGTCATACACGTTGAACGAACCATTTTAATGACGAATCAGGCAGTTCCTTTTTCCTGGAATTCTAAGTCCGTGGCAATGCCACACCTATTTTCTGTCTGTTAATTCACTTTGTTGTTCAGTCGCCAAATTTTGAGGACTCTGCTACCCCATGGACTGTAGAACGCCAAGCTCCCCTCTCCTCCAGTATCTCCTGGAGCTTTTTTCAAATTCATGTCCATTGAGTTCGTGATGCTATAGCCATCTCATCCTCTGCTGCCCTCTTTTGCCCTTAGTGTTTCCCGGCATCAGGGTCTTTTCCAGGGCGTCTGCTCTCCGCAACAGGTGGCCCACAGTTTTAGCAACAGCCCTTTCAATGAATATTCAGGGTTGATTTTAATTCACTACTTATTTTTTGAGGCATAATTCTAGTATCACTTCCTCAATATAAAGATTGCCCCATTCTTGGGGATAGTTATTTGACTACCTCTTAAGGAATGCGTGCTCGGGAAGTGCTGACCAGTTGGAAAAAACTAAGCCTTTTGAAATGCGCAGTGAATTTGAGCAAATTAACTTCTATGGTCCTCAGTTTTGCTTCCCAAAATGGAGGTAGTACTATTAAAGGGTCTTGTGAAGTTTAAATCTGTTAAAACCGAAGTGCTTAATTGTGAGTGCTGTCTGTCATTCCAAAGTACTCTGGGTAAGAGCAGTTGCCACTCACAGGCCTAAGATCCCCCTACTGCAGCTCAGACTCTCCAGCCACTTGTTTGACCAGCCTTGAATTAGTCTGCTTCCTACTGTAGTAGCTTTAAAGAAAGTCTTTCTTGCCTGCTTCACTTTGCCTTGGTGTAGTTTTTCTTTGATAATGTAAATGTTTAGGTTCTGTGTTTATTGTTTCTTCTTGATGACAGTGGTGCTCCTTTCTTGCTGACTGAGTAGTGCAGCTCACGTGTTCTCTGTTTTCTAGATGTTCACCAGTTGGACTCAGAGGAGTAGAGCTTTGTGGGGTGAAGGGTACTTAGTATGTGATGTCAGGATGTGAAAAGGGCTGTATCACTATATCTGTTCGAGGGCATCCCAAGTGAGGTGCTTTCATCTCAAGGAAGTAGCATTAGAAAACAAAGCACAGGCCTATGCCCCGTTCTTTCCTATCTGTTATGAAAGGGGTATGAGAAGGATGCAGTTTGCAAAGAAAGAGAACAGCTGAGAATATTATGCCCTTTCAAGGGACACTGGATTTCATGAAGAAGAGAAGCTAAGCCAAGAGAGGAAGGGTTGCACATTAAGCAAGCCATCTGCAGTGGTGGAGGTAGTGTGGAGACATATCAGGAATGGAGTGGACCCACTTACCATAAGGAAATAAGGTGGAATAGTACTGAACTGGAATGAAAAGAAAGATGGTTGAGAAAAATAGGCAGTAGGGAAAGGGGAGTTGTTTAGGAGTATGGGTAACAGGGAAGGAAACTGGTAGTCTGAGAAGCTTGGTAGAGGTACTCATTATTGGGTTGGCCAAAAAATGTTCATTCAGGTCTTTCCATAATGGAAAAACCTGAACAAACTTTTTGGCCAAACCGATACTTGAATCTAAAGAACAATATCAAATAGTCATGTACTTAGGAAAACTAAAGGACTGAGGAAGAGGAGATTTGACACCCGGCTTCTCCTGCTTGCCCTTCCCTAACACACAGAAGCGTAAACATAACACCAAATGCAGCTGCATATTCTCCCTCATGGGCTAGTGGAGGCAAACAAGGTAAAGTTCAGGCTGATGATGCCTAGTTTTTCTTTTTCTTCTTTTCTCTAACTTCTTTGATGTCAACTGCCCCCTAATAACCTTTTTCTTTCTTCTTCCTCTACTGTTTCTCATATAGAAGCAGACTGGATGAGGGCAGATTCAGGAAGTGAGAATGAAATGTGAGAAAGAAAAACAGCTTAAGTTGAAAGAAAAAGTTTACTCCTAAATGTCTAGGCAGAACTCAGACTGGGAAGAGCATATAAAAGTGCTATACCAAGAAAATGAAATGGAATTAAGTGTACTTATGTGTTATAGATCCTGTTATGACAACTTAGAAGAACATTACTCAGGAAGGTCTCCAAGTCTCTCCTGAAAGAGGTAAGAGAACACAGTGCTTAAAGGTTCATCAGGCAGATGAGCATTAGACATTAATAGGAACTTCCAGGCCTGATGCTGGTGCAAAGAAACCTATGAATGCTCTTTCCTGGAACCTCTCAGCACAGGAAAGTTATCCAACTTTTAGGACTGGAGGAGGAAGCTACCCCTCCAGGCATCTCCGCACTAGACAGACTCTGTCTGGGAAAGGCTGCTCCTCCCAAGCGCCCTCGCCATCGCCCCCTTCATTTCTTTGTTTCGGAAACTGTAGATGATGGGGTTGCACATGGGGGTGATGATGGTGTAGAGGAGGGAGAAAGGCTTGTCTTTGTCAGGACCGTGTGTGCTACGGGGGTTCATGTAAGAGAACATGGCTGAGGTGTAGAAAAAGATGACCACGGTCAGATGGGAGGCACAAGTAGAGAAAGTCTTCCCCCGACCAGAGGAGGAGTTCCTGCCCAGGATGGAGGCTAGGATGCGGGCATAGGAGATGACGATGAGAGCCATGGGGCTGAGCAGCACCACAATGGCATCAGCAAAGATGACTCTCAGGCTAAACTGGGGGTCTCCACAGGAGAGAGCAATCACTATGGGGGCCTCACAGAAGAAGTTTTCTATGTGGTTGTCTCTGCAGAAGGGATTCCGGAATGACATATACTCAAGCATGATGCCATTGATCAGCCCAAAGGACCAGGCAGTACTCACCAGGCTCACACAGATCTGCCGGCTCATGACCTGGGCATAGGTCAGTGGGTGGCAGATGGCAACATAACGGTCATAGGCCATGAAAGCCAAGAGGATGCACTCAGCCACACCCACACAGAAGACCAAGTACATCTGGGTCATGCAAGAGACAAAGGAGACAATGTGGTTCTTCACTATCAGGTGGACCAGCATCTGCGGGATGGTGGTGGTGATGAAGCAGACATCCAGGAAGGACAGGTGGCCAAGGAAGAAGTACATGGGGCTGTTGAGCCTGGGGTCTGTCCAGGTGATGAAGATGATGAGGCCGTTCATGGCCATGGCCAGGCTGTAGAGGGCTAGGAAGAGGGCAAAGAGCAATGCCTGAGTGGATGGGGAGCTCTGCTCAAAGCCCACGAGGACAAACTCAGTCACGGTGCTGCCATTCCTTAGGTCCACTGGCTTGGATCCGCTTGAGGAGGAGGGACAGAGAAAGCACAAGAGCGACAGCTGTAGAGTAGCGCAAGGTACTCACTTGAGTACAAAAACCCACCTAATATTAGTGGATGTAACATAAAAGATGGATGAGTGGTGGTAAATGTTTTGTAACTTAAGTAAACATTATGTAATTGGCAGTGTTAAAGGGCAGTGAAAATGCCAGGGTCACCATAGGTGCATCTATGGAATCATAATATCAAAAATTAAGACAGGGGTGGTTATACTTTATTCTAATTTACTCAGGCTCAAGTCAAGTATCTCTTCCAATATCTTCAATGTGGAAGGGTTAGCCTTTAATCAAATTGAGGTGAAAAAACAAGATAGTTTTCTAGAACCCATGCCAAACAGAGGAGTGGAGTATTTCAGAGGAGGGAATGGTAGCTGTTAGTTCATAGATCATATTGAAGATGCACTTGAGAGACATTTGAAGATGTATTTTTCTAGGAAAGGAAAAGGCTCAAGTATAGTATCTATTTAAAACAATGAATGGGTTGAATTTTTAGAGAAAATAAAAATGGTCCAGCTCTCAGGATTATCCCTTAGATGAGAATGATTAGCATAACTTGAAACATCATACTCAGCTCTTCCCAATCATCCTGCTTCTTTCCAGTCTCAGGTTCCCAGTGGTTGCTGCTGCTGCATTAACCACCCACGCCAGGCATGCTGGAGATGGGCCTGGTGGTGAGCTCTGGCGTGCTTCCTCGTAGGAGACAGATTTCCTGCTGGGGTGGGAATTTAGGGCAATACATAACTGGGTAAAAGGATCCAACCATCCCCTTGAGAACAGGGAAGTTCTGCGCAGGGCACAAATTCAGTCGTTTTGGATAGACATTCAGACACCTTCAAGCTGTCCCTTTACCAACAGAGAGTGAATCTTGTTCTTTTCTCTGTCATCAGAGAATGAGCACCCAGAATTCTCACGCTCTATTCTCACTGCAGTTTTTAGGAAGTCATTATGTTCATATTAAATATCTCCTACTTTTCATCCTGTTTTGGAGTTAGGATATATCGGACAGATCTTTCACTTTCAGATTTTTATAGACGGTGTATTTGTTCTCAACATTCAGTTCTGCCAGCCACTCTTCTTCATTTTCTCTTCTTCCATTCCCTTTTATACACACTCTCAATTTCTCCCCTCTTTTTGTCTTTCCCATGGTTTTCCACTTACTTCCATTTCTCACTCTCTTCTTCTTGCTCTCCCTTCCTCATCTCTGGTGGTGGGTGTCTGTCATTGAGCTACCTCTGGTTGAACTTCTCTCTGCTCTCCGCGTCTTTAAATCTTTCAGGTACCTAACTTAACTTTAAAACATACCAATGTCATTACTGCCACTTCTTTTAGCTTGGAATCCCTGTAGTTGTTTCCTGACAGGTCCAGGCAGTGTTTGGGCAGTAGGCCATTCTCATCATAGCTGCTTTGAGTGATCCCCTGAAAATTCCTCTCTCGGGGGCCCAGAATGAGTAGGGAGGGGCAGAAAGAACTGTTTAATCCAAGAAGTGGCTTTGAATCCTGGGTGCAGTGGACTTGTTGAAACTGAGGTCAGAGTCTGGGCAAGTGAAGTAAGTGAGCTACACTTCAGACAATAAGAAACTGAAATTCAACCTATGGAATCATTATGATTTGCAAGAGTACAAATGTTTATTTGTGGCTTGTTCGTTAGAATATTCTGTGATACCTGGTGTCTTGTTAACTACAAGAGTTAGTCAGGAGTTAACCAATCAAACATTTGTATAAGTAAATGGAACAATAATATCTTGAAAATCACATCCTGCCTCATTCTGTTGCTTGGCTGGTAATGATGTTTGTCATTGAATTACTGTGACAAATAACAGAGAAACTCATGGTGTTTGAGGAACTTGTCCAGAGAGGATGGTCTGACCTGGTGGGCCACTCTGGAAGAGAAGTTTTGTATGATGACCTTGTTAATTCTCTGTCATCAATATCATGGGTGATGAATGTTTATTTAAATAATATTCCTAAGTTATGTAGGCTTCCCAGGTGGGGCTAGTGGTAGAGAACCCACCTGCTAATGCAGGAGACAAAAGAGATGCAGGTTCGATCCCTGGGTTGGGAAGATCCCCTGGAGGAGGGTATGGCAACTCAGTCCAGTATTCTTCCCTGGTGAATCCCATGGACAGAGGAGCTTGGAAGGCTAAGTCCATAGGATTGCAAAGAGTTAGACACGACTGAAGCAACTTAGCATGCAGGCACTAAGTTATGTGTGTACTGCACTTTGTAGAATAGGTGAGGAACTTTACATTTCATGTATTCCACTTATTAGTAAGCTTATATTATTCTCACTTTTTTAATAGTGTTTATTTTTACTTTCTTAGGATTTTTAATTTTGTCTGTGATAACTAACTGAATTCTAGCACCTTGATTTGAAGTCACATTTTCTTATAACTATTAATAGTTGAAGAAATACCAGCAGGAAAATAAAGCTAAATTCTCCTTTAGCTTCAAATAAGCTCATATTATTCTATAACATAAAAGATGTCCTTGAAAATATTTCTGGCAAAGAATTTTCTAAGACTGGACATCAGAAATTGTTGCTATGTGCTGTAAAGCTAATCTTGAACCTCTAAAATGTAATTTTGATTTTGGTAGGTCTTATTTATGGCCATGGTAATATATAGATCGGTATCTCTTTGTTTTCTAAAACATACACATACTTGTGAGATTTCTTTGTTAAACCAGAAGAGGATCATGGGATTTTCTTTTGCCAAGTGTGTAGAGATTAAATAACCATTCATAATTCCTTGGGTTTCTTATGTAAAGACTGGAGATCTGTAATCTCATTTAAATTAACAATAGTTTATAAAATAGTTTACACCCACCATCACATTTAAACCTCAAGCTTATTATTGTAATTTAATGATGTGATTTAATCTCACTGAAGAACCTGCATCAGAGGAGCAGCCACATGAAGGTAGAAATGGGATTGTCTTAATACACCACTACCCCTGGTTAAACAAAGACTTAATGGGACAGGAGAACACAATGTTAGGCATAGTTAGGGGTGTGTGAGGAATAACAACTTCCATATTCCTGATGTTTCCTTCCACATGAATGAAACTATTATAGCAACATACCCCTGGCCCTTCCCTCTTCCTTCATTTACACCATCTCATGGAGGAGAGATGGAGTGGTTATCTGATTTTAGAAGGAAAGCCGAGCACATGTGTCTGTCTCTTTTCTCTAGACTTCCCCTTTGGAGTAAGTAACCTTCTTAAGGGCAGGCTCCACCTCTGTTTGGGGAGACAGTGTTGTTGTAGCTGCCAGCAACAAGGAAATAAGTTTGTCTAACTCTGTATTTCTGCATCAGTAAGTTCAATTACTCAAATTTCTGTATTGGTATTAATAAAGTTGATATTTTACCCTCCATATTCAGGTGCCACCGTATTTCTCAATTGATTAAGAAGTAAAGGAAGGAGTAGTGTTATTTATTGGACTGCATCAAAGTCCCAGTTATTAGTAATATTATCACATACATGGAATTAAAGTATAAACAAAGAAGTATGATAGAGCTGTGGTTATAACAAAAAGAAAGTGAGCCGCAGTGGTGTTTGGCAAATCCCAAGAGAGAGGAATTCTGTTGATAAACACATATGTTGAATTCTCAAAGAACAGTGCTGGTGAATTGAGAGATGTCTACCTTCCATGACCACAGGAGCACAGTGAACAAAGCGTGCTACTGTAGACTAGACTGGTGGGAAAATGTCTCATTATAAAGTAAGACTCTGATTCCTGTCATTTTTACAGAGGGGCCAGGACACTTTTGAATAATTGAACAATTAAGCCAGTATGTTTCTGTTGCCTTCCTTTCATTTTATAACTACAGGAAAGAAAATACAATAGAGCATTGTATTGCTTACTTATTCTGTAGAGTATGTTTGTTTTAGGGATGAGGTTGGTTCACTCATGTTGTAAAGGAATTCACCAGCCTTGTTTAAAATCATGTTAAGTTCTTCTCTTAGAAAGCTTCAGCCTCTGTTTTTTGCAGGTTTGCTTTAAATGTCTCTAGTAATTTCAGATCTTACACAGCTTGAAGCCTGGTCCCTCTTCTGTATACTGTAGTTCTTTGCTTTTTGGATTAAATACTCATTTTGTGACCTTAAAGCAGAAAAATGTCTTCTGGTGGAAAACTGTTAAGGTAAATATATTCATACTTGGATTCATGGACCCAGGGGAATCAGTAGGTGTTTCAGAATGTCCATGCATCTCTGAAATGTTATAGGAAGTACCGTGTGTGTCAGAGCTATTTGCTTGGAACGTCCACAGTTTAATCAAAAGCAGCTGGAACTCACAAAGGGTAGAAACTTGTGATTTAGAGATTTCAGGTCACTAAAGTCCTGTAGACTTGTCTTCTTTAAGCCGAATA